TGACTCTGTGCACCAGCAGCTCCTGCTAAGACCGGGCGCTTCAGGAGCTCTGAGAAAATGCTGGGTTGACACGGGCTCCAGGCTGTGTGTGTGTGTGACAGAGAGAGAGAGAGAGAGAGAGAGTGAGAGAGAGAGAGAGGGGGGGGGGGGGAGAGATGGACTGACCCCAGGGGGAGAGAAGGAAAAGCCAGCAAGAAGGGGTGTGACTTCAGCTCCATCCAGTATGCTGTGGGTGACCCAGGGAGAGCCCCTTAACTCCAACCTAGTTACTTCATCTCCAAGAGGGCAGGTCATATGAGATAACCACACATGTGTGCCGAGGAGGGGCCGAGCACATAGCAGGTGCAAGTTACTGTATTAAAAGCACAACTAATGCTCATCCCACATTAGGTGCTCTGTTTTCAATACTTAATTGAAAACGTACCTAATTCTTGTAAGGCATGTTATATTAGTCCCCAGTTTACAAATGGGGAAACTGAGGCCAGAGAGGTTAAGCCACTTGCCCAAGGGCACACAGCAAGCAAGAGGCACAGCCCAGGTTCGAACCCAAGAATCAGACTTCAGTGTTAGGACATTGCCCAGGACTCCACACGGCCCATCACTGGAGTAGCTGCACGCACTGGTGTCCCCTGAGAATCCGAACAGACCCAGACACTGGCCGGGACTCTACAACTGTGGGGGTTCTCTCACCACAGGTCCAGCGAGGCTAAAAGCGCCCTTCCCGTTTCAAAGCTGTGCAAACGGAAGCTCATCCAGATGAGGCAAGTGACTGCCCCACCGCCAGCTGGTTGGTGGGAGCAGCAGTGAGTATCCTGAGGCCAGGTCATGGCTCCCCGATTCTCACTTCCCTCAGCCAGGCAGGGAGACGCCTTCTCTGCAGGTACACGGTAGCCTCTAGGGCCTGACAGCTTGGGCAGTTGGTGGTGAGAGGACACAGTGCCCAGCGAGCTGGACATGGTCTCCCAGTGGCCTGAGAGCTGTCACTGTGGCCTTTCTGCCAGGCAGGCAGCTCTAGGGAGAGCAGGTTGGAGACAAGAGGGCAGGTGGGCAGCAGAGAACCTGCAGGCTCCAAGCCCGCCTCCCATCACCAGCATCCTGTTCAGCCTCAGGCCTGAGGTGTGTGAGGCAGGGATTTGCCTGAGGTCACCTGTCAGTGGGAGGTACCCCAGGGTCTGAACTGGGCCTGACTGGCCTCAGGCGCCTCATCTGTGAAACGGGGGGGGGGGGGGGGGGGGAGGGCTGGGCCCCCCCCTGGGGGGGGGGACCCCCAAAAGAGGTGTGTGGGCACCCTTTGGTGCATCTGTGTGCTCACCCTAACTTCTAACCCCTTGGCGCCCAGGGGAACTCTTCCCTGGCGGGCTGGTGCACTGGGGGGGTGCGTTTAT